GGGGGGGAGGGGTGGGGGGGTGGTCTTGGAACCTATAGGTGCTGTTTGCGTGTGAGGAGCAAGATGCAGGAATTGAGGCTCTAGTTTTCAGAGAGAGCAAAATGCTGTTTCCAGATGTTTAGTTCATTTAGATGACTGGCAGATTGTCTTCCCCCAGTCCCCACATGCACTGTACACATAGAATCCCAGCCCTGGCCCATAGTACCTGTCTTGGGGAAGGAATGAGAACGGGTTTATAGAAACCTAATTTCTCTGCATGATTCTGTACTGCTGTTTTGGGCCATATACAGAGGCAAGCATGTGTTTCCTTGCTATCAACTCTTCCGGCAAACCAATTAGGTTGTTACCTGTCTCCCGTTACACTGTAGGCATAGTTTAGGGACAGGAGTGGGAAAATGCTGGTATCTAGTGGCCAGTCTTTGCAACCATCTGCTTCATCCCATGTAAGATAAACCTGATGCATGTCTGTGGATGTACTTTTAGCAAAAGGCAAGTTTAATCTTTTACTTTGAAATGGTTGAAGCATCATGCAGTAGAAAGGGTGTTAGAATATTACAATAGCGTAACTAGGGTGTGGCAGCCAACGCAGCTGCCCTGGACGCTGACTGGGGATGGGGAGAGAAGTGAGGGATGGCCAAAAAACTGCTCTTGTAGCCATGCAGTTATGTGGTGTGGCAGCAGCCAGAAGCTGCCCTGCCCTGGGCACCTGGCTGCATTGTTACACTTCTATTACATCTCACTCACCTGTATTATTAAAGCCTAATCTGTTACAACGTGGGGCATTGCTGCATCTTAATTGTTTGCTTTATGCAAACCAGCAAGTTTTCTTTGCTGTGCTCATCAAACCTCAGCTGGCTTTGATTAGCATGCACTTATGCACCTTCTTCAGCTTTTGAGCTTTTCACACCTTGTCACCCGGCCGAATACTAGATATAATTTAATTTCTTGTTGGGGCAAAGAGGAGTAGGCGAGAGAAGTATAAGGCAATGGTATATGGCAGTGGTCTTATACTGGGGCCATGTTTGTGGGCATGAAGTTGGCAAAGTAAGGATGAAAGCTAAGCTAAGCAGAGGCCTACCAAGTTATCGAGGCCAGCAGAACTGGGTGGATATACCCACGTAATCATTTTAGTGTTTTCTGCTGACTTTGTAATAGCTATTCTGAGCTAAAACTTTTTGACCTTAGAGCTATAGTTCAAACTAAAATTATTGTTACTTAGACAAGAATTGGAAAGAATTTTTGAAGTACAGAAGAAGTTGTAGATGTTGCATGGAAGGCAGGAATACTTCTTGAAGCCTCATGTGGTCATTGTGTCTGTCCCTTTTCTCCTCCCCCATACATGATTTGGTTTTGAAGTGGGGGAACTTTATTTGCAGTTGCTTGATTTCCTTGCACAACTGTACATTACCGTTTCAAATTTGTTTAACGTTTTAAACCAGTGAGGTTTGAAGTTATTCATAACATATCCAGTTATAATAGGGAGGACATGGAGTAGCTATCCATGCATGGGATAAGAGTATAATTAATGCATGGAAAAAATCTGAGGGATGAGCTGAATCGGGGGGTCTCCCAACTTTTGAGCAGCTGGAAGCTGCACACTAGGGGTGTGCAAAGTGGGCCCTATTCGATTCTGTTCTCATTCAGCCCAAATCAGGGGACAGTAATTTGATTTGGATCACTGTCTCTGATTCAATTCAGCTGAATCCAGATCTGAAGATTCAATGCTGATTCGGAGAATCAGCGATTCGGACATAGACACAGCTTTAAAAGTTTTTTCTATATACCTTGAGGTAGCAGGCGTGGCCCATGAATGCTGTGATGCTGGGGTGCATGGAGCGTCCTACAGGAGTGCGGGTGGCTTCTCTACATGCTCAGTGGTGACCCCAGAAGTGGACCCCCATGCCTCCTTGGCTCGGCGATTGGCCACAGGTGGCACCCGGGCTCCCAGGAGGCACCACTTGCCGAGCTGAAGGGCGCGGGGGTGCTCCCCAGCACCCTCCCCAGCAGACCTGAAAGTGCTTCTGGTCCACTTCCAGGTCTGCTGCTGAGCGTGCTGGGGGGCCCTCCACACTTCTGTGGGATGCTCCATTGCACCCCAGCGTTGCAGCATTCACAAGCCCCTGCTACCTAGAGGTATGTAGAAAAAAACATTTAAAGCTGTGTCTATGTCCAAATCTTTCCGAATCTCTCCAAATTGATTTGGAGGGTTCCGATTTGATTCGGCGAGATTAAAGGATCCTTTGATTCAATTCCACTGAATCAGACCAAATCTCCGCTGAATCGAATCGGGGACGCTACTGCACACCACATGGACTCCCCAGCGCCTTTGGGCAATGCCACATGAAGCAGAACCCAGAGGAGCGAGGGGGAGCCTGGAGACCCCAGCAGCAGGGGCAGTGTCGGGGATGTGCACCTGGGTGGTCATCTTAAGCCATGAGTTAACCCCTGGTGGGCTGCATGCGGCCCGTGGGCCACAAGTTGGACAGCCATGATCTAAACCTTAAAGTTGCAGCTTGAAGAAGTTTGGTGTGGAATTTGCAGGTGCAAGTTTTCTTGGGTAGAAAGAGAGCGTTACTTGAGATCCCTCCCTGCTTGCACCTGTTCCAGAACGTGCATCGTGTCACTCGGATGTGCGCATTGACAGAGATGCGTTGTTAGATGCGCTGATCAAAGTGTTCCAGGCAGGTGTCAAGTTGTGGCTGCGCCTGGTCATCTTTGCTATCTTGGTAAAAATCCTTTGAAGCAATAGATAGGGACCTACTGAACTCCGCGGGTAGGAGGGGGAAAAAAAAACTTACTGAAAATTAAAATGCTGGCTCCCCAGAGGGAACACTTTAGTCCTCACGGCACTGCGGCAGCCTGCCGGGGCAGGATGGGGGGTAGGGGCTCCTGGCAAGATGGTTTCCCCCTGTGTTCTGCCCACAAAATCAGTGGGCAGCTGTGTCGAATTAGGCAGGTTCCTAGCAATAGAGCACTGCGTGGTGCTGCAGAATACCTGCATTTCTCCAATGTGCTAATGCCCAATGATATAGAAGCAGATGGGCACTTGTGGACCCTCAGTGTTGCATTAGAAGAAGTGTTCTTGTGTGTTTTTCATAGATTCATAGATCGTTAGGGGCTGGAAGGGACTTTGCAGATCGATCGGGTCCAGCCTTCCAGCTCTAGGCAGGAAGACAACTAGGGTTAGGTGACCCCAGTGAGGTGACTGTCCAGTCTCCTCTTGAAAACCTCCAGGGTAGGTGACTGCACCACCTCTGGAGGGAGTTTATTCCACAGTGTGGACACCCTGACTGTTTGAATTCATTGCTTTATAACCTTGACACTGGATAGCACTCTGATGGAAACCTTTACCCAATAATCCTATTTCTAGATGTTGGCAATGTAAAGAGCATGTCTCATTTGAATCTGAGATTTGATGACTACCACTTTAGAAAGTAAATTTTGTGGGTCTCATTTCTGTCTTGTGTGGGGATATCAAGCAGACTCTTTTGTCTAACTTGTGCTTGTGTTTTTCTTTCCAAAGCAACATGTCCAGGATGGGCGGAAGGAGAGCCTTGACGGTTTTGTGAAGACTTTTGAGAAGTTGCCTACCACTGATGGCTATCCAGGAATCTTTGCGTTAGACTGTGAAATGGTGGGTGTCTGGGACCATGAGTCCAAATACCAAACAGGGAATACACATATGAAGTAAGACTGGCAGCAGGCAGCAGGTGATATAGGGTACCTTGCAGTAGTATACTGAAGGAGAGGTTTGTTTCCTCTCAATAGCTTCCCTCCAAACCCTGGAAAGCTTGTACCAGGGAAAAGCTGTTCGTAGTAACTTGTTCGGTAGCATTTGGCATCCTCCTTGTTGGGAGTCTTACCTGTCAGCAGCAGGCATGGCATGTTCTGGCCTCTTATCATAGTGAGCTCTCTGATCCTGTCCTTTGAGAAGGGTTGTGATATAACTGTTTAGTAAAAGCACACCTCTTCAAGATGGCAATGCAGCAGGTTTATTTAACATGTTGGTTATACATTGTAGGTGTCTTCTGTGGAACTCTTCTTAATACCAACCTTGCTGCTTTGAATAGTTAACTTCCCCCTCTCTCCTCTACACTGAGCTCTAGAGAGCAGATAGTCAAACTCCTCATCTGTAGGCCACACTATAGGACAATGCATCCTAGAAACTCAGTGGAAATTCTTTCACTGCCATGTTTAGTTTTGAATTGGATTATTTGTTAGACTGCTTTGATACCCTGGCCACAGGATGTTTTAACCTTGTACTGAATGGCTGGAGACATTTTTAGTTGCTATTAGTATTTAAGGTGATAAACATCCTTGAAAAATAGCAGTTAAATTGGCTAATGGGCGCCAGTGTTTTATAGCCAGCTTTGCTGCCAGCATCCAGAAGATCTCTGCTGCCTTGAGGAATATAGGAGGTCATGTAAATACTGAGAGATGGACTTCAGATTCCATGCTCATGCCAGCGAAGTAAGCCTTTCTTCCTGCTCTGTTGTCGTGTTTGGTTTTGACAGTGTTACACCAAGCAAGGGCTGGAGTTGACGAGAATAACTGTGATCAACTCTGACCTGAAAGTGGTCTATGACACCTTTGTCAAACCTGACAACAAAGTGGTGGACTACAACACCAGGTAAGAATAGCTCTTTTCCTGGGTGGCTGGAGTATGGCCAGAGCCATTAAGGTGTTATTTCACTTTGCTTATTGGGGAGATTTTTAAATAAAAAAGGGCAGGTTGTCTTTATGGCTGCCCTCCCTTAGCCTGTCAGCACTGCTTCTTGGTTTGCTGGCTAAGTGATAATGGGGTACTAATGGGGTACCCTGGCCTTTCCTTACCAGCAGCTACATTTGCCACATCTTTAGCCAATAGGTGGCTATTAGAATTTGAAGCCTGAAAAACCGTCTACTGCAAATTTGGTAGCCTTCCTGTGTGGAGGGCATAAAGGGTTCCCTTTGAGTCCAGGAATTTTTTTCTGTGCTAAATACTGTGTTAGCTGCTCAAGTGTAGCATTCAGTGGTTCATATTGTAATGGAGAAGCAGTCCTACTAAAATATTCCATCACATAGAAGCATTAATAGGTGGAGACGTAACATGGTGTGCGAGCCGCCTTTTGATGCTCTAAATACGAACGATTGGGTTTGCCTGCTAATAGCTTTGTCTTCAGTGTGACCTCTGATACTATAAAGCGTTCCTTGCCCTAAGTGCTATGGAGTGTCTATTAAGTGGAAGGCTTTTCTCTCTACTGAAGAAAATGCCCTTTTTTTTTGCATGGTAGGTTTTCAGGTGTGACGGAAGAGGACCTGGCGAACACAAGCATTACTCTTCGGGATGTCCAGGCTGTTCTACTGAACATGTTCAGTGCAGACACTATTTTGATAGGGCACAGCTTGGAAAGTGACTTATTTGCACTAAAGGTAACAAACCCTTTCCGTCCCACCCTTTCCTTTAATCTAAATTTACAACTTCATCTGATTTTCTTTCCTATCACTATATGCCTAATCTGTCTTATTTTTTTTTTTAAATAAATGTGGAGATAGGTTGGAATTTTTTTCTTTGAGTGAAAAGATTTCACTGGATCCTTGTCTGAACTAGCTGGAGGTTGATGAATGGCTCAGCAGGTACAAGAGGGATAGGAGCAGCTTCTCATATGACTCCTGACTTGTAACAAATGATATCTTTTAATTCCCCACCGAATGGATTTGTCTTGAGGTTGATTTATCGTGAGGCAATTTTGGAGTGTAGTCTAATGAGTTGGAATACAAAGCCAAATGATTGTTGGTATTCTCCAAAAGTCATTTGCCACTAAGTCCCTCCTGTGAAGTGTAATTTGGAAGGTGTCACTGTTGTAAAGAAAAAACCTACCATTGCCTTTGGCACTGAATGGTGTCTTCGGTGTACTCAGCAGAGAAAACAGGGATTGTGGGAACCATGTAGAGGACCATCATCTTACCTATAGAGAGGTCTGCAATGTAACCATGCTGGAGGTCATCTGGGTCTGTCCCTTTAAACCAAGAGTGAATTTTTTGACCAAAAATGGGTGTATAGCTGGAGAAGACTAGAAGTTAAGGTTCTGGGGCTCTGTCTCCAGGTTTCTGTTGATTTGCTGTGTAACTTTAAGCAAGTCATTTTAATCTACTTATCCTAGGTGCTTTATCTGATCCTTTATCTGACCTGAAGAAGGGCACTTGATGCTAGAAAACTTGCCCAACAACTTTTACCAGCTATACAGCTAGTCCAGTAAAAGATATCACAAAACGTCCTTGCCTTCTCTGGCCCTCATTATCCTAGTGTCTGGATGCCCCAGCGTCTTTAATGTATTTCGCCTTGCACACCCCCTGTTATCTCTGTTGTATAAATGTGAGACGGAGAGAGACTGGCTTGTCCAAGGACACAGAGGAAGTCTGGCAGGGCAGCAGTTGAACTTGGGTCCAACCTGCAATTCAGTTCCATTCTTCACACTTTCTTTATCTATGTTACTTTATTTGATAAAGAGGTAACCAGAGGGGTGCTGGGAATCATTAGCATGTTAATATCTGCAAAATGCTTTGCCTTCCTATAGCAGCCTCCATTCCAGGATCTCAAGGAATTAATAATCATAATAAAAAAAATATTTACTGTTTCGTCAGCACATTATGGCTGTGCTGGCCCGTTAAAGTCATTATTTTCTTTTAGCATCACAGAAGCTGCCAAGAGAACTAACCCAAAAGCAATATAGCGGAGCATTATGGTCAGCACAGACAGTGTAAAGTCATAATCTCTGAAGGCTGTAGCAGTAAAGACGACATCGTGCTAATGGCTATGGCAAGCTTCAAATAGCAGTAGCATTTGAGTCTTATATTTAAAGCTATATTATCCTGTTTCTTCAGTCTCCCTGATCTACATCAGTAATTATCGTTCTTCTTGGGCTGATGCCAGGCGAGTCTGCACTGGAGAGGAGATTATCTATAATGCTTGGCAGTTTTACACTTCAAAGAGCGCAGCAGGTTGTTTCGATTAAGCTGCAGCTGTTCTATAGCATTTACATAGCTCAGCTAGGAAACTATTAACAAGTTAGTTGCAAGTTGTCATGCAACATTAGCTGGTACCTAGGAGAAGTAGGGGACAGATGGGAGGCTGACAAGTCAGAAGTCCTGCCTGAGTCATCCTGTGTCATGGGACTGCCCCTATGGCCAGTTGCACAAATTAACCTCCATCTCAGGGCTGTCAAGTGCATAGTAAATGTAAGCCCGTACTGTTCTAAATGCACTTGGGCCAGAGCATGACAGATCATGCTGGACTGAACCTCTTGACTATCTGCTCATTATCCTGTCTCCAGCAGTGCCTAGTACTGGAGGGTGAATCCCTTGCTACCATTCTGTGCCTAACAAATGAACATTATTGCATGCGACTAGGAGGCAACTCTCTCACCTTCATGTTGATTTGTTTGCAACCTGAAGCATAAGATCTATTTACCCTGTTTCATCCAACATTAACTACAGACGATCGTTGTCTTCGGTCAGGCTGGAGCTGTCGCAGAAATCAGAAATTTGGGAAAAGTCCAGGACTCCTGTGATGCCACCTGCCATTCAGTCAGAGAGGGGAATGCATAAGACCTTGAGAAATATAGTTCAGTAAGGGATGTTGGCCTATAGGGACAGATGGGGACATCAGTTCTCCAAATTGCAGTTTCCATGAGGCAGTGTACTACAATAGTGAAATGTACTTAGGAAGGTAATTGTTGAACTGTTGTAAGGATCCTTGATCTTTCCTCTAATCTTCCTTTTCTCAGGGCCCATCTACTGTTTGTAGCCTAATGATCACTAAAAATGACTAGACCAAAATCATTGCCTTAGATTTGGAAAAAAAAAACCCTCTTTCCACCCATGTTCTCTCTGCGAATGGGTATGGTCATTCATTTTAGTTTGAAGTGCCAGTGATTCTCTTCCAAAGAGCCAGTGACATCTTAGAAACCAATGTCTCTGTATATCAAAGAGACAAAATCTGTTTTCATGGAGTTGTGGCATGCCACGGGTTAAATACTCTTGCATTTCATGTCAGATCATTACCATCGTGGGCCCAGCTCTAAGTGGACTAGCCCGTCTGTTCTTATGGTGGAGTTTTGCTGTCTGAAGGGAAATTGGATTTAAGCAGCTTTGAATTTTTGCAGCGATTTATGCATTTTTCTTTGGGCAGGTGTGTTGCAAAGCACAGAACCAGGAGCAGGTGTGTGTGTGTACTGGGAAGGGGTAACCTCCTGTAAAACTGGCTTGGTGGGAGCTTTGTGGTGATGTCACTTAAGGAGCTGAAGGCTGAGCAAAGTGCTGCTTTAATCCTTGTTCATAACACTTAGAGGAGAGCAAACAACCGCATATTTTTCCCTCTCTCTCCAGTTTATCCATTGCACAGTGGTGGATACATCGGTCGTCTTTCCCCACCGACTGGGCATGCCTTACAAACGAGCGCTTCGGACGCTGATGGCAGACTACCTCAAGCGCATCATCCAGGACAATGGTGAGACTGCAGAGAGTGGGGGGATGTGATAGCCTTGATTTCCTGGCTAATTCCACCTAGGTGCCAGGTCTCTGTTCCTGCCTATCCCTCTGCCCTTCTGCTCCACCCATGCTTCCTTTTACCTGATATTTGACAGTAGTATCTGCATTTGGGCCTCTGTTTTGGTAACTACTGTACAAACTCATAGTTGAAGTCCCTGCTTACAGACATTTCCAAAGGCTTCAGGCTAGTGATAACTATTGAGAGGTATAGCAAACAGGCATTGCTGCTGACCTGGGGAGTTTGGCTGACACTCCATTCTGTTGGAGGTGGGTCCCTGCTGGTCTGTCTGAGAGCAGAAATTCCCAGGACCAGCACCGTCCCTGTGCTGTGTTTGTGCCTTCCCTGGGAGACGGCCCCTGAGGCCTATGTGTGAAACTTGGTGCCTGGCATAGCAGGCAGCAGGGATCTGCTTGACTTAGTGCAGAAGAACTGGCACTCCACAGCTTCGTTTCTCTGCAACATCCTTGATACCACAGCCTGTGTGGGGATGATTTGTAATGATGCTTGTGGGGTAACAGCGGGGAATTCTGAGTCCGCAAACTCACAATTCCCCTTTCTACTGTCCAGTATAAACTGAACTGCTTGCACGTACTCCAGAGTCTTTGCATTGGGGCATAGGCTAGGGAGCCTGTCCCTTCTGTGTCCTGAAGCATTTGTTTTTCATTCCCAGTGGAAGGGCACGACTCCAGTGAGGATGCCAGAGCTTGCATGGAGCTGATGATCTGGAAGATCAAAGAAGATGCGAAAGTGAAGCGATGACTCGTGCTCTTTCTCTCTCCTGTTCCTCCTTCACCTCTTTGAAGCAGTGCAATAAATGCTCAGAGTAACACTGTTCACCTGTACCCAGCAGCATGCATATCCCAGATTCCCCTGTGCACTTGTAGGTATCTATGAAACTTAGAGACTGCTGCTGGCACAGTGGAAGGGCATGGGGGGCACTGCTTGCAGGGTTCACATGTCCAGGTAGTGGCTCTCTGATCCTCTCGGCTTCACCAGAGGGATGTTCTGTGAGGCAGTAGTTGCCTTGTGGGCACAGCAAGGCAGCTTTGAGTAGCATAACTAGGAAGCCTCCTTATTCCGTAGGAGAAGCTTTTAGAGGCCCATTGGATACAGCTGACAGTACCTTTCTGTGATGTGTAGATCACTTTTTCTTGTTTCTAACTTATTTGGAGAGTTGCACAGCTTTTGCCTCCAAGTATTGAGGCAAACAGTAGCTGGAGGATGGGGAAACAGACCAAGGGAGGCTGTGAAACAGGTGATGCTATGTGATCTGTGGAGAAGGTGGTGAATGGAGAATCAGGTCAGCCAGAGGGGGTCTAGAGCAAAGACCCACTGCAAAGGAGAACGCCAGCGTGGGAGGAGATGCTGTCTCTGAAAGGCAGTGAAGTAGAACAGCTTGGCTCGGAGGAGGGAAGGGGGTTGGCTTTCCTTGAATGGCGGTAGCCCCACAGATCGTCCTAACAAATGCAGGTCTCAGTGTGGATCTCAGATGGATGACCAGCAAACTGGAAGGTGTAAAAGCCACAAGTGTCCACACTCCCCAGACAGCAAGGAGTCCATGGCTGCTGGCTTTTACACAACCCATTTTTGTGATCAGCAGGAGGTGGATAGGATAGCAAGGAAAGATTTGAGGCCATGGTATAGCGTATGGCTGTCAAGGCAGGAGGCACTTGTTGAGGTGGGGTGCACTGTTAGGGGGCAGTTTGTATTCTGTCATTGATGCCTTTGTGATATCTGGCAAACACCCCTTCTTTTACATCCTCTGGGTGCCTTGGTATGACGGTGTCAATTGACCCCCTCTGCTCACCCCGCCCCCTCCGCAACAGTTTGCCAGAGTCTTGGTCATGGTTGTGTGTCAGGAGTGAGGCTTGGGGGCTCAAAGGAAGAGCTGGATGCTGCTAGGATTGCTTGTTACTGAATATGCAAACATCAGGGGCTCCCTGCAGACAGATCTCTTCTGCGGGCGGTTTGTGCTGACTTTAGCAAGGTTAAAGCAATAGGTGAAAATAATGTTTTTATTAAAACTGGTTTACACAAATTGGGTTTTTAAATACCCACAGTTGTATCTCTTCTCTATCTGTCCCCCTTTGCATAAACATGTTTCTGTGATGTCTCGGTATAAATATTATGCAGTTATGAATGATGATGCTAAGGCGGCAGTTCAGGTAATAGAGGCTGTGGTGCTCCGACTTTTTTTGTGTAGCATGTTGACGATGCCCCTTTTTAGTTTTGTTTGTATTGGGGATCAACCAAGCCTGGGAGAAAGTCCTTGTCTCAACACCAAATCTTTTTTGCTCCTAGCTGAGGTCGGAGCAGCAACAGAACCCAGATGTCATTGGGTTTTGGGAGGGCAGAAGATAGCCTTAATAGCATCCCCTTGACTGGTGAAATGACACCAAACAATGGGAAGCTGCTTATCCTACATGTGTTTGGTTTGTTCCAGGCCTCTCCACTCCAGTGGGTGTACTGTAGGGCGAGGAACCCCTATGTACATGCCCAGGGCCTTTCCTCCAGTGCTGACCAATTTGAGCCTTAACCTACGGTCCCAGCGAAGGTGGAGCAGGTCCGTGGTCAGGTGACAGCATGGTACTGTGCATTACAAA